GGAGCAGAGGGGAAGGACCTGCCTGGAGAGGCCACTGCGGCGCGTCCCTGCCCCCGCGTTCCTGTTGGCAGCCCCTGTGCAGATTTGGCGGCTATGTAGGATTTGGAGGTTTTGTTTCCCAGGGGGAAAAAATTGTACCGTTAGCATTAGAATTCAGAAAATTTCATGGAGACAGCAGACTTGCCGCGTGGTCCTTCCCTTGTCGCTAGCCGTCGCCTGGTATCTTTGCTTCGCTTGGCCAACACGCAACACTGCGGCTCCCGAAGCTGTGGGAATGAAAAGGGGCGACGGAGTAGACTGGACAAGCCCGGGGACTGCAAGGAACTGCACAGCGGTGCCCTCTCATCAGTTCGCGTCTGGGCGGGTCATAGTGGGTAGTAAACGTTACAGGCCTATGGCTTCCTTACCCAGGACTAATCTTTACCTTAAGTGAGTCCTGTGCGTTGTTCTTGCGCATCTAGGGTAACATACCTTGGAAATGTCAGAGTAATTTTCTCTTCCAGACTCCTCCAAGGCACGGCTGGCACCGGAACACAAGCCCAGCAGAGCAGGAGACCACAAAACTCTCCATTATTACTTTGTTGCCCACATACCACCTCTATGTACTATAAATGTTAAATGTTAACTATCCTGTATCCACCAGTTTAAAGGGAGCATGTGTCTTTCCATTTTCCTTAAAACCCAATCCTGGAAATTAATCCCACTTTGCTTTCTTCTGCCACCAACAGATTTCATGTAACCTTACAATTTGTCCTTTCTATTCTAAATGTATAAAATAAGCTGCAAAACTGCTATTCTTTGGAGCATTTTCTCAGTCCATTGAGATTTTGCTTCTGGGAATGTCCTCAAAACTTTAGCTCAAATAAATTCTTATAGAGCTGGCTACAGGTTTAGACATTGCTTCATTGACAACGGATGTAGCCACCTGTTGGATAGTTGTACAGGTTGTTCTAGCCCAGACATTTTTGCTGATTTAATCTGGGGAAAACTGGCACTCATAATTTTTACTGTTATTGGTATTATTTTTGTCTAATAATTATTAAATGTCCACCCACGTGTAAACACACGTTTTCGTAGGAAGGCTGCAAGACACCTGGCACAATGGAGCAGAAGCTAAAAATGGCAGCAGAAAAAAATGAGAGGAGGTTATGAAGAAATGGAATTCTGCATGTGGGTGACAGAAGTGGAAATTATACACAAACGAAAGAGTTAAGACAGATTGCTCTAGAGAGCCTGACTTACCCAGCAGTTTCTAAGTCCTGGTGTACCTTTACAAGCATTTGGGGAGCTTTTTAAAAAGATTCCAGAGCCTGAGCCCCATCTCTACAAATTCCAATTTAATAGCTCTGATGTAGGGCTTTAGCATTGGTATTTTCCTATGTTTCCAAAGTCATTTAAATGTGCTGACAAGAAGTTCTACTCATTTCTAGGAAGGATTTGGCTTCCACTTGGGAAAAGTAATTATGTACCACAGACCATCTTCAGTTCTTTCTATAACCAATTATGCATTCATTCTGTAAGAATTTATCTAAATTAATTTTGAACCTACCCTTTGAGAGAAAGGAGTTTTATAAGGTTTATAATTGACTTCTTAATTTTATGAACTTGAATGATAATCCCCTTCGGTTTTAATAATTCCAAAAGCACCAGCACTTCTTTTAGGACCTTTTTAATTCTTAAAAAAAAAAAAATCCTTTTCTATTTCCATATTTCTTGAGATATAATTAGTCAAAATTATAATTGAACACTTAATCATGTGAGCAGTACTATTCTAAATATATCAACTTCTTTAATCCACAAAATAACTTCACGAGGCAGGTATAACAACTACCCACATTTTATAAAGAAGGAACTTTAAGCATAGGAGGTGAAGCATCTTGACCAAGAACATTCACCTAGCTAGTGACAAAGCCAAATTTTAATCCAGGCACCCTGGCTCTCAGTAAGTAAATGCACGGCCTCCGTTATAGACAGGCTGTTTTTAGGAGTGTTGGGTAAATACCTATTTAAAGAATGATGCTAAAAACAAGAAGTGTTAACAAGGATGCGGAGAAAAAGGAACCCTCATGCATTGTTGGCAGGATTGCAAACTGGTGCAGCCACTATGGAAAACAGTATAGAGGTTCCTCAAAAAATTAAAAATAGAACTACCTTATGACCCAGCAATTCCACTTTTGGGTATTTATCTGAACAAATTCAAAACACTAATTTGAAAAGATATATGCACCCCTATGTTCATTGCAGCATATTATATTTCATATTGTAATAGCTATGTTTGGAGCCAGGTGGGTACTAGATTTATTGGGGGGAATCACTTCGTAAATTATATAAATGACTAGTCACTATGCTGCACACCTGAAACTAATATAAAATTATATTAAATATCAACTGTCACTGAAAAATTTTTAAAAAGAAAAAATATTTTAAAAAATAAGAATGATGGTGAGTCTGTGGTTTTTCACTTTTGACATCTACCCTAGATTCAAATTTGGGACAGGCATGAGGGACTTAGGAGCGTAGAACTGACTTGACTGCTTGCTGCAGATCTTGGGTTAGGCTGGAAGTACAAGGGCTCACCCTCTTCTGGGATATACTCACCCTACTTCTGAGATAGACTCCTTCCATGCATGACTGTAGTTCAGCAGGGATCATGTCACCTTTTAATTGATTTAATCTATTGCTATACCAGGCACTGTGCTAGACATGAGAGATATGAAAATGAAAGACACAATTCAGAGCCTCAAGAAACAAGATCATCCTGAAGGGCAAGTCAGCAGCCACCAGATTCATCTGGACAAGAGCTGAAGTAGAGGCTTTTAAAACTAAAATGGTCCTCAGAAGCTGCCAATCCAAGAAAAAGTTTTCGCTGACAAGTGCTGAAGTTTAAAATTAATAAATAAAGGGTTCCAATTAAGATGGCAGCATAGGTAAATAGAGTACTTGGAACCTCCCACGACCACACCAAAATTATAACTAAACTATCATTCGGAACTGCCTGAGATCTAGCCGAACGGAAGTCTTATGAGTAGGGGTTTAAAGAAGACGCAATATCAGGACTGGTAGGAGGGGTGGAGACACGAAAGGGCTAGTTCCACACTCACGTGTGGGGAATAAAAATCGGGAGGGGTATCTCAGCAGCAGAGGTCCACCCTGAGGAGTGAGGGGTCCCCGCCCCACATCAGGCCCCCCAGCCCAGGGTTCCAGTGTGAGGAAGACAAGTCCCCATAACTTCGGACTGTAAAGAGCAGCTGGCATTACGGCTGAGGGGCTCGGAGGCTGCTGGAGTCCCAGGCAGCTCCTCTTAAAGGGCCTGCACACGCAGACTTGCTCAGGCTCACGCCCTCTGAGCTCCAGCACTGGGGCAGCAGCTGGAAAGGCACAGGGACATGTGGGGAGGAGCTAAATTGTCTGGCATCAGGGCAAGAGTTGGGAGGCAGCCTTCTGCCAAAAAAAAAGTGCTGGCAGAGGCCATTGTTCCTTTTTCTGAGAAACCCCCCCCCCAACACACACACATGCACACAAAGCAAGAGCTGTATCTGAGTCTCCATAGTCCTGGTTCATACTGTTTGCCCCTCCATGGTGATCCTGAGACCCTGCTCCACCCAACTTGGGGCCCACCCAAGCTGTTACCAGTGGCTTTTCCATAGGAATGGCCTGTCTTGGCTCATGGTTCAGACTTTCCTAAAATCTCTCAAATAAGCAGCATCTGGCCTCAGCGTGCCCTGTACCTCTCACTAAGTGGCCCCAGACTTGGCACTAGCAGGAGCCAGCTCTGGTCCAAACTTTGGCCTCTCCCAGACACCTCTAAGCCCAACATAAATAGCAGCCTTATGCAGATCACTCTGTAGGTTCATGCAGAGAGGCAGGGCACAGTCAGTGGCTGACCTTGCACGTCCAGGGAAGCTGCAAAGTCAGTGCACCCGCTAGACAGCTTCAGACAATGCTGAATTACAACCCGACAACCTCCAAAAGCAACACACTCAAGGAACAGACATGGCACCATCAAAGTCCTGCTCTACGGGGTCCCCGCCTGCATAGCAGCTCCTCTGATGTAGTCACAGCTGCTCCTCATAGTCGATTGACCTGGGGGGTCAGTCCCTCCTAGTGACATGCCAACAGCAATCTAGACTCAACTACAACATGACAATGCACATAGCCCACATGGGGGGCACACCTGAAGTGCCCAGCTTGGATGGCTGGGGAGGCTGTGCTGCTGGGTCCTACAGGATACCTGTTACATAGGCCACTCTACCTAGCCCAGGAGACACAGCAACTCTACCTAATACATAGTAACAAACACAGGGAAGCAGCCAGAATGAGGAGACAAAGAAACAGGTCCCAAATGAGAGAACAGGAGAAATCTCCAG